TCAGGGGACAATTCACCCAAGTACCCACTAATGGTTTCATGATATTGGTTTTATTGCTGCATTTTAAAATCGTGGCAGCTGGGACTCAAACTCAGATGACATTTTGCAACATATCTTTCAGAATAGGATAAATCATTATTGTATTTCTGTGATGAGAGTTAGATGAGATCAACACCTCTATCATGTGTTTACTCACCGTGAAGCTACAACCAGCAGCTAGTTAGCTTAGCTTAGCTTAGCTTGACATGCAGAGTGCAAACAGAGGGAAACCGCTAACTTGGCCCTGTTCAAGTAAAAGAAAAACTTGTTATAAGCACCTCTCAAACTTGCTCACATAAAACTTTAGAGTAAAAAAGAGTGATAAAGGCCCTTTTGGGTTAAGGATTGGCATTTTCACCTGAGGCTGTGTGATGCTGGGAACAATCAGGTTATGTCCTTTGTCACATAACCTTCATAAACTCACCACACTATATGAGAAATAGAACTTTACAACCAATGCCCAATAAAATGCTAAAACCGTGCTCTTATATTAATGTCTTGAACATAAAATGAAAGGAGAGCTTTAATCTGATGAATGTTGAACCACCCTATGTTGAACTCTGACCTGACATTATTCTGAACAGTGAAGCGCAAACAAGTGAAGTTTCAATAGCAACAACATGTTTTTGACTGGATATGGCTTTCAATGATGATAGTGCTTTACAAGCCACCATTCTTCTTTGGTAAAACTGATTTTGTTTAATCCATATCCAGATCTGTGCTTCATGCATCACTCCTGGTCCTCTCAGCCTTGGCTGCTGATATGAGCTCATGAGCCAGTGTACTGTAACTGTCTGACAGCGCTGTTGATTCTAGTCTGTACTTCCTGCTTTGATAACTTCACCTCACGCATCATAAGACCTGCTGCTGCCGGCCAGTCACATCATCAGACTATTCTGTCAGTCAGGAAGTGAAAACTCTTAAAATGATTCACCAGCTGTGAACTGTGTGGGAGGAGAACATTCTGGTTAATGTGCCTACAATTATTTAACAAAGAAGAGTTTTTTTTTCTTAGGGATTCAATGGAGTTGGTCATTTGAACACACACACACACACACACACACACACACACACACACACACACACACACACACACACACACACACACACACACACATACATACACATACACCATTAAAAGTAGCTTAATTCTAACAACCTTTATCAATGACTATAAGGGAGCATGTAGAGTTAAGATTAAAATTAAATTCTTAATTTACACTTGATTTTTGCAATCTAACACTCATAAGATTATATGCCCTTTAGGAATGCTGTGTTCTTATCAGATTTAACTGAGAGCAATATTGGAACCCATCAGCTATAATCTGACAAGGATTTATGCCTTGAGAGAGAGGCAACAGGGCGATTAAGAAATTCTGGCCATAATGTTTAGATAACCAAGACACAAATCTTTCTTTTTTTCTCGTAACCTCCATCGGTTAAACTTCTTAATTAGCTTCAATAAGTGGAGGTAAACTCCAGAATGTGTCGGTGTACTTTGACCACCACTGATGAGTGTACATGCAGGAGTAACAGCAAACACCAAACTTCTGACCACACTTGCTGTATCAGTACCGCTCCATTTGGGTCAGAGTTCCCACGGGTTTTAAACCTTTACCAGAAAAGGTAACAATCACTGCTTTTCAGCCTGGTGTTTAACAAGTATTTGCAATGATTTCAATCAAAATAGCAAACACTTCATCAAAAGGTAATCACTCCGCTGATTTACATTGTTCATGCAGAAGTATTTTAGTGGAAACGAAAGTTTGATATATACAGCAGATGTGTATGTTCTTTTCAATTTAGATGAAATATCGCTCTATCTTCTTCTGTTGTTTGGTTATCTCTGAGGGCGGTAGAGGTTACTTATAAGACACATTATTCTTCTGGATATACAGATCCAATGGCAAAGCTTGGGCACTCTCACTTACACAGCAAACAGAGTAAGAATTAAAATCTGGTTTATTTTCAAGTCATATAGTGTACAAAAATCTTTGTTAAGTTTGGTTTAGATACGCCCTACAGACATAGTTATTACAATGTGTTCTCCCACTCTCACATCAGTGTAGAAACAGTCTACAAGTACAAACATACAGTTTAGAAAAATACACTCTCATCATCCTCTTCATAAAAAGTAGTAACGTACCGAACAGATTAGAAGACAGTGAAAGGTTAGTTTGTTCATTTTGATGCGGTAACAATGTCATAACATGATAGCAAACAAACTGAATGGCAAATAGAGAAGGCAAGGGCAGACTAACCAGCCACTAGACAGTGTAACACCACTACTGTTTCCATTCAGTGCTAGTACTGAAACATACAGTCTGTTAAAGTAAACATCAAATCATCTGTACCACATCGTTCTATCAGTCTACTCAGCATGTCACCTAGGATCCTTGAGGACTTGTTGGAGCAATGAAATAAATCAAAAACATTTTTTTTTACATTTCAATTGATGAAGAATGAAAGTGATTCGATAACTGTCATCCTTATTCCTAATGTCCGTTTTCAGACTTTTGACCGGCTTTTCAGTGTACTGCTTGTTTGTTGGTACCATATTTATCTTCAAACAGAACAGACGTAGTTCTTTGTCTTTACATTCATCAGGTTCGTACCAAACCCTCAGAGTAAATCTTCTTGTCAACCTTCATCAGCTGTCAGATCATATCAAATCTTTTTTATTCTCTTTGGGCATGTGGGTAATAATCTGAGTCTTAAATTCCCATGCATGGATTCTTACAGAGAAAAGTTTGTGTGTTTAATTGTGTAGTTGTTATTAATGCCACATAACAGCAAAATTAGAAGCCTTCTGATTGGATGGACTGGTTAGCTGTGGAAGCTATTGCATGTTGTTATGTTCAAAGGCTGTTAAATCAAAGTGCATTTTCAATGGCAGGCGCACACACTTAAAAACAACACCCATTGAGTGTGTGTGCATGAAAGCTGGGCATTTAAACTGAATGTATTGAGTTCTGTCACAATGAAACGTTCTTGTCCTGTCAATGTGCAAATACTGTATGTCAATACTCCTGTCGGAATACAAACTCAAATCAATATTGTAAACAACACAAGTTAAGAGATTTTTGAGTTTTCTTCTTAAACAGTCATTTAAGAGTTGATAACAAGAAATATTTTTACATGTTCGGTAGCATGACTCAGCTATGTAGAGTGAAAGCAGCTTTGGGTCAGTCAGAGTAAACTTGGAATGACAAACTGGACCATAGGCCAACATGATAGTGTGGCACGGAGTATAAGAAAATATGAGTTCAATCTTCATTTAAATGAATATTTCTGTGGTTCATTCCTGTGTCGTTCTGCTACAGTTACCCAGAACATTTAATAAAACAGTCAAGCCTTTAACAGTCTACTCACTTTACCCACATCATTTACATCATTATATCATTACAGAGTAAACACAAACTTTGGATCCAGGCCAGCAGGACATCATGTGTGTGAACAACTGTTTAGGACTGCATTTAGAGAAAAATAAAAACACCTTATTTCATCAGGTGAAGCGAACAAAATGGTCACAGAGTAAAGCACACATGTCAGTTTTTGAATCAGTTGTCCACCCCACAGAGTATTACGCCTGCCCTGGGTTTGGCAAAGTAAAGAGTTTAAGGCACAGCAATGGTCTGACGAATGTCCTCATACAGAGAGTCAGTGCTCTGATGGTGTCATTCAAAACTAAATCAGAGACACTCTAAGACCACTTTTGACCCCGTCTACTATACTTTTACGTAACAAAAAGTGTAAAAAAAAGGCCCAAAATAAACACAAGCATATCTGTGTAACAGTGCTGCTTTTCAGTATTACTCAAGGCAATGATTAGAATTCTTAAAAAACGGACTGTTTAACAACAACGGATAATAAAAACAGGTTCCTACCCTGCAACCAATTTTACACTTAACTCTTCTACGAAATGAGCACCTTTAAATCATCAAAGGAGATGAACAGCTATTGCAGCTTGATCAACATCATAGTCCTGACATTTTGTAGTTCAATACAACAAACTGCTCCTTCTCATCTGTAGTTCAGTTTTCATACTCTCTCACAATCTTAACATCTTTACATTCCTCAGGTTTTTGGCACAAAATCAACTTCTCCCCATCACAGTCAGCCATCTTTGTAGTTCAGACGTCATTTTCTGTGTCTTTACAGTTCTGATCTCATCACTGTCCGACATGTTTTACTAGCATTCTTTGTTATTGAGTAAACACCTGACTAAGATTGTCAATAGCAACCTTTTTAAAAAATATGGCAGATAAAGACACTTGACTTAACCACATATGTAGTTGTATACTGTATACTGTATCTATTCTGCCATCTAGCCTACAGTAACTGCACTGTTCATGTCACATGGACCTCCTGGGACCTCCTGTCTAGCTCCATACTATCAACTGTCCAATAAAGAAAGAAAATGTTTAATAATCCAGAAGTTGTAAAGCTGTGCAGTAAAATTATAAACTAAATTCTTTATAGTTTAAAGTAATGAAATGCTGCAGACATAGAGGCCATGACATATATCTGACCTTAAGATACAGGGTCACCAAAGTGTGCATTTATGCTTACAGTACGTAAGAAATTAAATATTTTCTACATGAGTAACCTGTTGAGACAAAATTACCAGCTTTGCTTTTTTTCCATTCAAGAGATTTGGTTGATGGACACCCCCGCATTCTCAAGTTTTTAACAAGATTAATCTCTACGGTGTGTTCTTCTTCCTTTTCTTTGTTTTGATGATGTGATGAAAGCGGGATGGAAAAATATATATATTTTTAAATCCACTGTAAAGTTTTTCCATTCATGTGGAGTTGTGAAGACGTAGCTCCTGGATTTTTTAAAATTTAGTTTGGGATTCAAAAATACTTCATTTGGTTTGGTTAGTTCTCTCAGCTGTGATGCCATCAACTAGATAGGAGACTTGGAGAGACCTTGAAAGCTTGTTGATTGTCCACTTTCTACTTCACATGTTCAATGAATTCTCCCCTCTCTGGGTCCAAACCATTCATGAAAGCACCTCCATTTCTAGCTAGAGGTGTTGTAAAGCCCTGCTGCCCGGCCTCCTTCTCGTTTTTGTCCCGTTCATCGTTGAAATTGACCGACGCAGTTCTCTTTGGCAGAGTGAACTCAGGAGTCGGGCTGAATCCAAGCTCTGAGGACAGTTTGCGTTTAATTGAAGCAGCACGCTGGAATTTGTCATAAATCTCAACGCTTACACGACGCCGGGTTTCTTTGAACTCTGCTGAGACGTTAGCCGTCCACTCGGCAGCATGTGCTCGGATCTCTCCGACCTGCAGAGAGAAGGAGAGAGAGGAATGAGTGGATAGTGCAGAGATTCATAAAGATGGCTGGTGGTTTGATTCTGGAAACAGTTTTAAAGCTTTGGATGGGTAACATAAGTTCAGCACAGTTTGAAAACCAACTAGAACATACTGAAGCTTAGTTTAAATTACTCTGTTTCACAATGTCACTGTTCATAAGCTCCATGTGTTGACAGCTTTCACTTAAACGTCACCTGTTTGTGAATGCGAAGACACTCAGCAGACAAGCCTTCCATTTGATCACCACACAACATTATCCAATTAGTCATACCCTAGTTCGCCTCCTTTTAATTGTTTTGTCTTGTGTGATAATGTGTATGCTTTTCTCACAATCTGATGAACTCTGTGGTTGTAATGTATGACATATACACACACACACACATACACGGCTTGTTCCTGGAAAGATCTAGGCCTTGAACAATTTCATGTAGAGACGGTGTGTGTCAGAAGCACTGAGCTGAAGTCTTTCAAAGAGTGACGGTGTCACAGACCAGGATGTCAACTCAATTAGATTAACACAATGTATCTGCAACTACGCAGAACTGCACAGTGTCAGATCATTCAGCCATGGAAAATTTGACACACACACACACACTGGGGAGTTCACCATTAAAAGACAAAATAGCAGTATAATATGTACAATTGTGGTGGAACAGCATGGTGTGTGTATATACCATTATTCCACCGGAGTTATCAGAGTCACACTGTGACTAATTCTGATTCAATTAATGGAAACAAATCCACTTAAGAAAGCAGAGCCTTTCATTCAACTCTGTGCAACTCATTGACATTAACTAAACATTTCAGAAAACAACATCATACATCTTAATACACACACCGTGATAGGAGGCCAACAAATGGCGACACACTGTTCAACCTTTTGTTAGTCTGGAGACAGCTCTGTGTATTAGATGCCAAATCAAAAACTTCAAGGTCTTGCTTGATGAGCGTGTTAGTGTCTCTGACAGAAACATTTAACAACACAAGTAACAACAGAGTAAAGTCTTGACAGTTAAAAAAAAACTTCATGATCTGCATTAACACAGCATCCTGACTGTCACTCTTCCAGTCCTGCTTCTGTTTGATCTAATTCTCTAGTCTAAGTATTGATAAAACACTGACAGACATGCATTGGCAAAATGGATGAGGTAGACTGACACACAAAAGAAATAAAGGAAGCAAGGGTGCTTAAACGCTTCCCTTGCGTCGTAAACTCTCACCAATCCATCGACCCATTTTATATCACTTCTCACAAAAACAACTCTATATATCTTTGTGAAGGCAGTATTAATTAGATAGTCCACAAACAACCAAGAGAAGCAGTTGTCTTTGAAGTGTGCATCAACTTCACAGGTCGAGTCACAGGTCTTGGTATTGTTCTAGACTTAGACTTCTCACACAAAGAACGAGAACAACTCGGCTTTCTATATACACAAGAAATATTGCAAAAGTTTGGCTGTTTCTCTCCTGACAAGATGCCAGAACACTCGTTCAGGATTTATTTCAAATACGCTTGACTGCTGCAATGCTATTTTCACTGGTCTCCCAAAACATTGATACAAATGTAATCTTGAGCTCTGCTGCAAGACTATAAACTGGAACAAGAAACAGAGAGTGGATCATCCCAGCTTTAGCTCGCCAGTGCAGATTTCAAAGTTATTTTAGGATTGATTTAAAGCTTACTCAGCTTTAAGGCTCTTATGGTTTAATATTATCAATCCTTCGCCATCTTAGATCTACCTCTCACACAAATAAGAAAATATGCAGCACAGCCTTTTTTTCTACTTTTCACAAAAACTTTATGTCTGCCCGCCCAACACTAAACTGATAAATGGTCAATGGACTTGAGCTTGTATTGTGCTTTTTCAGTCTTCTGACTACTCAAATCCCTTTTACACCGCATGTCACACCTACCTATTCACACACTGATGGTAGGCTGCTATATAAGATAGATAGATAGATAGATAGATACTTAATTGATCCCGAGGGAAATTCAAAGCATCCAGTAGCAGGTTACAAAGACGTACATGACATGAAACAAATTAACCACAAAAAAACGACAGCCCCCTCCCATACATATATATTAACCCGAAAGAAATATTTAAGAATACCCCTAGATGAATCAACATTTTTGAGCAATGTTTAAAAAGAATAAAATTATGAAAAACAGACATTAAATAACAGTCAGTGCAAACATTAAAGGTGCGATTTAAATTATATAAAGTGGCGATCAGAAGTAACTAATCCCATTCATACACATTCATACAGCGGTGGCAACGTGGGGTTAAATGTCTTGCCCAAGGACACATTGACAGATGGCTGCAGGAGCTGGAGATCTACTAACTGAACAAGATGCTACATGTGACAACTTCTAAACTACAATTTGTAAATGTGTGTTGACACATCATTGATGTAGCTTAATGTCAGTCCTTTGTTTCATCTTTTAGATATTTTATTGTTTTTACACTGAACTATTCCACTTTAGGAAATGTGCTGTTTAAATAGACTTTTTCATCATGACTTACTTTTTTCATCTATATTAACATGTCTCGTGGTAATAACACACACTTGTAACAGAGGCTGATGGTGTGTCACAGCAGGACTTCAGCATGAGAACCCATGGGGAGCATTAGGGAACACAACCCACAAACACCTACAATGTCTCATGCATCAACACTTTTTAGGCTGCAGTTGAAAACCAGAATTATTCAACTAATTATGTCAAACTAACAGGTCCACCACACATGATATCATGTTATGGTCAAAGGTAAAGTTTTCTGTTTTAAACTTTTCTATTGGGATTTAAGTGTGTCAGTCACCTGTCACTGAAACTCAGCGGAATCCAAATATTGGAACTTTGGAAGCATTTATTAGAATAACCTGTGTTATATTTAGAGCACAGATGTTTCCAGATACGTTTCCTGATAAGGACATCATTACACATTGTCCTTCATCCCTCTCTGCAGATGCTCACAGTAATAGACTACGACTGTGAATGTGTTTGCATCGCAGACACAAGATTGGATTACAAAACTATCTTATCATTGAAATCATGTTAAGCAGAGGGCAAAAGTTGAGGAGGGCACATGGCAATGTAATCAAGCAGTGCCAATAATGTATTTGTCACAGTGTTTAAAGAGAGGCAGAGGAGAAGAGAAATGAAGAGGATGGAAACACACAAGTCAGATATGATATATAAAATAATCACAAAAGTAAAAAAAGGTACAATAAATAAATAAAGGAGTCTTGTACCTCTTCTTTCGTCCTCTTGGAGATGACTCTGAACCAGTCTCCAATCATGCTGAGGATGGCAGCAAAGTAAGCTAGTCCCACCAGAATCCAGAACCATACAACTGGTTTGTAGTAATCCAAGTACTCTATCTCTGAACCGCCTAGACGTAGAAACAGAGCAGCAGAGAGACAATGGCAGCAGTTGTTGATTGAATGAAATGTGATACAGACACAGAGGTTTGTCTGCATGCTTATTCAATCACTAGGTATGTCTTTACCTGCCACAAAGTCACCAAATCCTATAGTTGTCAGGGTGATGACCACAAAGTAAAGGGACTCCAGCGCAGACCAGCCCTCGATGTGTTTAAAGATGGCTGCCGGGAGCGTTACGAACAGCAGGCAGCCAAACAACACAAACAGCAGGGTGGAGATCACACGGATCTTTGTCTGACTGATGTCCCAGTGCTGCAGAGGGGAAGGAAGTCAAAATGAAATGGGCAAAATGGTGAATTTCACCATTGTTGTTTGTGATGAAACAAACTGAAAGCTCTGGCCCTCAACATTTCTTATCTTGTGTGAGGGGTATATGAGGTGAGGAAACTGTACCATGAAACCTCAACTTTTCTTGCTTCTCCATTCAAACCTTTTATTGCACTGTGCATGAAAAGGAGAATTTAGAATTCAGATTAATTTCCGATATTTTAATCTTAAATACATTTTCCAATTGTGAAAAACTCCTAAATTGATGTTCACATCATAGAACGTTTCAAGATGTTTTGTTGAAGCTGGTATTTAAGAAAAGGCTTTTTTAAGATGTGGGGAAAATGGTCCAACATTACTCATTTTGATCCTTAATAAGATTAAGTAGAAATTATTCCGTCATTTTTTTCAAGAGTTTTCTGAAGCTTAGCAATGCTTTCTTTCAGAAACATTACAATGTTAAAGTGTGCACAACATGTACAAATTCCTCACCATGGATTTGACTCAAGCTCTAAGCCCTTTAGTGCATGTTATCGCCACTCTCTCTTAAAAGTACAACACATTTAACCCTAGCTGGACCTTGATCAAGAACAGGCACAGCTAAGATCAATTGTTAATTGAAAATGCTAACAAACCAAAGTGAATAGAGGAATGTTGTACATAGAGTGTAATGTAAAACATAACTATCCTAGTTTGGTGTGTAAGCTTGCTAGAATTAGCTAATTAGCAATATTAACGAAGCATAGTTTGATCTTATTGGGATGCCTTCATTTGAAAGGTCATACACCTAAGTATTTGCTAAAAATTTAGACATAGAGTTCAAATGAAGGTGTACAAACATTAAGTTAAAAAACATATTTCTGTCAGGGCCACACACATCAGAGCTAAAGCACTTTGTTTCACACATTTTAGTTAAATGGTAAAACAGCCAGAAGCTGAAAACAGTAATTTAATTATTCTCCTCCAAATTGGCCACCTGGGCGCTGAAGTAGGAAAACCCATTCACAATACACATCAAGGAGAATAAAAAAACAACCTGGCCACATAACAAAAATGCATACACAAACACATTCGTATACAATGAACATTTGCCCTCTGCCCTCAGCCTAACATTAAATACAGAGTCCCTCAGGTGCCCTGAGAGGCAGAAGGAGCCAACCATTCTAAGTCATTCATTCTGGATTTAGAATTTCATTCAAGAACAGAAAAATAATTATTCAAAACACCAACACAAACCTGAACATAAACTGTGTGAGCCCTTTAATCTTATTTCTAACCCAGCTCAGTGTAGGGGTTGTGTCAAGCTCTTAGGCACAGTTATTCTCTCAGTTATGAAATGCAGCTGAAGAAATATTTATCCAAAAAACTTTCATTTAAAGTCTTTGTTCACACAGCTCCTGAAGTTTGCACACATACAAACTGTAAGCCTAAAGCGGCATTTACAATGTAACTTCCTGATTTCCATTTATTTTTGTCATGGTTTCTGAATCATTTCAGTCTGCAGATGATTTGATTGATTACTGATTGAGGGCCATGAATTCAATAGCTCGATGACACAGTGGGGAAAAACAAGCTCACCTTGTTCCTGAATATTATACCATCAAGGTTTATTTCCCACTTAGGAAACTCATACCAAAGTAACTATTTGTCAAAGATGAATGAATTAATACTATATTCAACACATCAATCTGTTCATCCAGTTAAATCAGAAGTCTGCTTTTGTTAATATGATCTAAAAGGGCTGCTGTTGGTAGAGATATTGTAGAGAGTGCTTTGCTGTAAATTATTCAGACTAACCTCTTCAGACTTTCCCCTTGCAGACCCAAAAACTGTGTGCACCCTTCTTTGAAATACAGCACAGAGCAGACATATTCAAAATGCATCCTGATATCCAAATTAGTCCCCATGACAGCCACAATCTGGTACTTTCATCAAATATAGAAAAATTCTAAATTTGTAAAAAGTGTAAATCTGACACATAAACGTCTTACTTCTCCTTCTGTGATGATGCAGCCATACAGGGCAAAGGTCAGTTTATGTGTTTGTATATGGTTATATTTTTAGCAGAGCCTTACAAGTTATGGCTGCTGCTGCTGCTGTGCTGACAGATTCACATTTTATTTATAATAATCAACACTTACATTTTTATATAAATTGCCTTTTAAAAGGACATTTTTGAGTTGTGCATAATGCACACATCATGTGTTTGTAGATGTTCCTCCAGACTCACCACAAACATCTTCTCCACTCTAGTGATGCCTTTGCCGAATATGGTGCCAAGCTGGTCTCCTACACCAGCCAATAGGAAGCCAAAAAGAGGAATCCCTAACAACGCATAGATGATGCAAAAGATCCGTCCACCTTCTGTGTGGGGAGAAATATTCCCAAAACCTGCAAAGAGGACAGACAAAAAAACAGAATGAGAGTATATGTCAACATTTACTTATATCCAATATGGAGTGCAGCTGTATATTAAAAAGTGAAAATACCACATGTACCAAACAGAACAGTGGAAAATGTAGTGAAGAGAGACATTAGAAACAATTGCACGCACACACACTTACACACGTATGGCCATGAAAACAGCACTGAGTTACAGACAGATAATGACAGATAATATCAAGGACACAGATATATAATCAGTGAACCCTTCACTTCACAAAAAAGGGTGATGTGTGAAAATATATAACTGACCAAAGAAGCCATGTGTGTGAGTGTGTGAGTGTGTGTGTGTGTGTGTGTGTGTGTGTGTGTGTGTGTGTGTGAGTGTGTGAGTGTGTGAGTGTGTGAGTGTGTGTGTGTGTGTCCTACCAATGGTTGTGATCACAGTCCCAGCAAAAAAGAAGGCAGAGCCCAGGTCCCACAGGCTGCTGTGATTGGTTAGTGTTCCTGCAGGATTAACTCCTGAACGGATCGCAGACACAACTTGCTGTAAGTGAAGAAAAAGTTCCCTGTTCAATTTGTTGTTTCAAATCAAATGTTAAAAGATACCTATATGACTTTAAAATTCTGGTAGAAACAAATGACAAAACCAGATATAAACATTTTCTCATCCTACTCCAGTTTAGGAGCTGTCTATGGTGCTGAAACCACTGCAGTTCTGCTACATTACATCTGTATATAATACATCCATTACTTATATAATAACCATTTGGTTAGGTCAGTCTCACCTTCACCAGCTCCTCCAGCTGACTGTGGTTGACACAGGGATGATTGGACAGGAACTCCAACTTCTGGGTCAGGATGGCCAAACGCTGGGCACTAGGAGAGACAACACAAGACAGTAATTGAATATGACGGATGTTTTTTTTTTAACATGGCCTAAGAATTCACATACAAGGTCCACTCTTTAAATTAAATTCTTACTTCAGTTTGGTCTGTGGGATAACGGGTACCGTCTCTATTTGATGACTGCACTGAATGTTCTTCAATCTTTGTGGTGATTGTGTTTATACAGTTACTGTGTAAAAGGCGAGCATTTGGGTTCTCCATATTTTGGCTCCTACACATATAAGTGAAATTATCAACAGCTCTTTGAACTCTGTTTACTTACTGAGGATTTCAGTTCTATCTAGCTCTATCTATACTGCACTTACCTGTTTTCTAATTGTCTTCATCCGTAGTCGTCCATGTTTTCTTTGAACTCTCAAGTAAGCAGAAACTGGATAAAGTAGTATGCCCTGCAGGGTTTTTATCTTAGGACCATTAAAGACTTAATTTAAGAGGCCCTCGTATTGGACCCAGAGGAACTCCATTTCCATATTTTTCCATTTAGATTCATTACTACCGGTTGGTTGTAAGTTTGGCAAATATGCAGTTTTTGTGTTCAGCCGGTTTTTTGTGTATGACCAGGAGAGCTTTTGTACCAGTAGTACAGGTACCCCTAGTTGGGACTTGTTGATCTATATGAAGACCACATTTTCAATATTTCTGGGGAAAAGTTATTTTGATAAAGTTCAAAATCAGCAGTTTTCCACAACAGATAGAAACTAAACATCATAGAGAGAAGACAGAATGTCAATGACAGGAGTATGATGGGTAAAAGGATGGACACATGAATAGAAAATGGGTGAAAGGTTGGATGGATTTTTTGTTGGTGGGCGGATGGACAGGTGGGCAGTATATATTACTTACATACCTCTCATGAGGCTGCTCCAGGGACCTGAAGACAGCTGCTCCCATCACCAGGTACAGAACCACCAAAAAAAAGATGGCTGTAACTGTCTTCCATTTCATCACCGTGGTAACCACCTACAACACATAAACTGATCAATAAACACATTTTCATATGGTAGGCCTCCTGGAAAAACCTTTTGCAAAGAGGAGTGTAAGGGTAATTTTTTTTTTACCAGGGTGGAATGAGCACCTTGTGAAAATAACAAATACATACAAAGTACTTTCAAAAGCTGGACTTTTTTTTACCTCGCTCTCCTCACGGGGAGTCATTGTGATTGGCTTTGTGGAGAAGGAGAGGCGGGGCTTGGTGTTGTGAGTGGCGGATTTAGGGTCCAATAAGTCTGGAGCTGCCACTGTCAGGAGACATGAGAAAATGGCAGTGAATTTTTTTTCTTACACACTTTTCCCCTCCTCCCTTTCCTCCCTCCTCCCCGTCTGTTCTCTCTTACTCCAGTCAAACACACTTAGCTGTTAATTTTAGAACTTCTTATAAATAAATCACCAACCAGGACTTTAAATGGCCTTTATATCCAAACACTGGTGAAAGCATGAATCAGGCACGAGCATTTAGTCCTCAGGCTTCTTTTCTAGTCATACTGCAACACCAGGGTTTTTTTATGTGTGTGTGCTTTTACAGGATACAGAAAATCGTTGAAAATAAAAGCTAAGCTAAAAACAGGAGGAGAGAGAAAGAGGGGCACGTGAGTCTTGTGTATCTTTAATTTAGGGGGTAGAACAATTTGAGCTGCTGCAGTCTTTGTAGTTTGTGAATGAGGTTCTTACAAGGTCAGGTATACTTTTGTAGGCTCACCAAACTGAGGAAAATACCAGAGCTTTCCAGTTTACTTACTGTACCCTGTGTATCTACCTAATTGTTTTGGGAAAATTGTTTATTTGTACCTTTCATATAATGCTTGTTTATTATAAATAAGCCACACATTACAAGTGGAGAGATAAAAGGAAAGTCAAATATATTTTAGCTTGAAAATACCTATACATTGTATTTATACACAGCAATGATATCATTGATTTCAAATTATGAACTAACAGTAATTCTTAACCACAAATAACAAAGCATCCATCAGCAGAAATAATGAATTCATATTACTCCAAATGTTACTGATACAAATTCAGTACTTTGAAAATGAGAAAAAATATGATGACTTCAACCAAATAATTGTGCTTCTGGTAGCTAATTTGAAGTATGCTTACTTTTTAACTTAGGATATTCTACAGGGGACATTATACAGTTTTCGCAAGCTGAGTTGAATTATAATATGCAGTGATTTGTGCCTTATTTCTTTTTAAAGGATTCTGTCTAAATGCAAAACATTTTAATAGCGCATTTTTAAACAAAAAATGCTAGTTTTAAATTACTCAAGATGATTGTATATTTGCACAATCAGTTTGGACCAAAAGAGATGCATTATGCACTGTAAACAAAGATGAAATCATCTTTTATCAGGGTCCTGGTGATTCAGTCTGTATACTGCAAATCACTGAGTTTAATATGATTTTATCTTTAAAGTAAGAAGAAAAGGAGTAAGTGCATGTAGCAGATGGAACTCCAGCTGTTTGGCGGCCTTTTGGAAAGATTTGTGTGGGTTATCTTTAAGTTGATATACTTCAGCTAGATAAATATTTAATGATGAAAACAAACATGCAGACATTGCAGCTGTGCAGGTTGCAGAGCTGCGCATGAGTCAAAGATAAACACTCACAATGATCTCTCCCTCCTGTTTAAATTAAGTAAAACAAATGGAACTTTCATAAGATATATAAGGTATTAGTAGGCTATTAAGGATTTGCTTTTCATATTGTATTAGAAAAGACTACCTTACATTACATGCATGAGCCTACAACGTTAAAGCTAGTTCCTTCACAAGCCAAAGAAATGTAAGTTTCCTCTGTGTGTGAGAACTTACTCCTTTTTGAGCCTATCCGATGCCCTCCGCTCTCCTCTTCTCCTCATCCGACGCTCTCACTATGTTTAGGGGAATCTTTCCTCCTCTGCGTGTCTCCTCCCTGCGGAGCTGAAGCGTGGAGATGAACAGGCGCTCCGTGTTTCTGCTGCTCCTCTCCTCTACTTTTACCGGGCTCTGATGCAGAGCTTTTCTCGATTGTTTTACTGCGTCCGCTGCGTGCCAGTGCAAAGAGCTTTCCCTGGTCCCCTTCCTTCTGCACGTCCAGCTCTCTTGTATCACCCTGCCCTGTCTGCGCCCTCGCTTTTGAGCGCCCCGGTGGAGCGATGGGACAACACCGATATAAAGGAGGAGGAGAGGGGTGGAGAAATGACTGGAGGGGTGGAGGTGGGAGACACAGGGGGTGGGTACCGGAGTGCGAAGAACTATGAGAGGTCATAGAGGTCTCGTTCTTACTCTTCACTGAATTAAAAGCATGTCTATGAACTACAGATAAGGGGCACTATTTGACCTTATTTACCTATCCTCAATCATTTTATCTCCACATGCAACCTCAGTGTAATAATGATACAGCATGGTAGTTAAAGGGACATCATATTCATGAGGTGTTATTTGTATCAGTATGAAGGATTAAGACATTCGGCTTACTTTTGTACAGTAATTTATGTCAGCTGATATAAGTGAATAAAAAGAGACATAAATGCATGAGAAAAGGATCAAAGATAAACTATAAAAGAAACGTCGAGACAAGACAATATAGGAGACACTAATATAGTTTGTCAATTAGCCTAAATAATTTCAGGCCAGGATAGGCAAAACTTTTCACTCCTCTTTTGCAGAGAACCCCCCCCCCCCCCCAAAAAAAAAGAAAAATCCTCCCAAAAAATCATTACAAAAGGAAAATTATTTGTTTCATGTCCTCTTTGTTATAACCAAAAAGATTAACCTTGTGACCTTGCAGGATATCCCAACCCTGACATTGGGAACCCCTGTCCTTCCCAATGTTTTATTGATGTTTTTTGTCATAGCTTTCTAGAAAAATAACTGTAAGATGGGACTCATGCTATGGAAATGTTCCTTAAACCTAAACTAGCATAGTTTCTGTTAACCAAGTGACTTTATTTTACCCTCATGAAGTTTGTGGCTTAAGGCATAAACAAATCAATAAGTGCATCAACATGATTGATATAAAAAGTTGCAAATATTTAATCAGAGTCTTGTAGTAATTGTTATAATGCTGAGTCGTTGAAAGGTGAGCAAGTGTTTCATTGGGTTAAATGAGGTGATCAGATATGTATAAATAGACTAGTCATGGGACGTAAATTAACATGGGCACAATACATGAAAGCTTGCTGCACTCATTTATACAACTATGGTGAGAACCAGCTGTTTGACACTCTGAAGGAATCACACTTGGCCCTTGAGACTTCTGAAAAGATGACGTCTCACTGAGATAAATATTGTGATTGAAACAATCAAAAACAATGAGTTTGGTGTTTATACACCAATTATGGCCCTACAGGTGTAGAGGGTCGCAAGTAAACATGGTGTTCAGTAATAAAGGAAGTATTATTTAAATGATTACCAAGTCAATCTCTTCCATGATTAAGCATATATTACCGTTTTTGTTTTGTTGTTAACCTTATCAACAGTAAAAAGGAGTTTTCTTCACTATTTTTCTTCTGTACATAACAAACACAATCTAATATCATCCATCTCTGGTGCCACATTAATCATTCCCCCTTTCTTTTCCTTTTCCTCTGTCTCACTCCCTCCATGTGTCCCCCTTTTCACCCTCTATGTCTCCTAGCTCCTGATGAGAACATAATAGCAGTTTAAATGTTGATGTTTTCCACGTAATCACTCAAACATCCAAACATTAATTACACGCCTATTTATACTGCTAAAGATAGATGCACTTTGTGTGTGTGTGTGTTTTCATATTTGTGTAGCCTATTAGAAAGAGAGCATAATAAGAGCCATAGTCTTGCTTCACCCATTTCCATATACATATATATATGTATCTATATATATATAGATATATATATATAGGCTATAGGAAACTTTCCATGTAGGCCTACCTGCTGTTAAGTGTATGTGTAAATAAGAGTTTAAATATTGGGCTCTAAATGCTTATCGATGTAGCCTAGACTATCAATACAGCGGTCACCAAAGGCAAACACGTTACAATGTCCCAAAAGATTTACATTCAAGTAGAGTGGTGCAAATTCAGTCACCATGAAAATTCAAAAACACAAACCATAATCCAAAACCAGCACAACAGAAACGTGCTTCTAAAAGCCTAAAGAAAACCATTAACATGCTTCAAATACAGAAACAATACAAAGTTAAAATCCCTCACACCAAATGAATGCAAAAATGACTTTAATTTTGATGAAACATGATCGTATATCATGGAGAAATGGTTTCTGACGGGAAGACAGCACTGCTAAAGACACTGTTGTGCTAAGTGCAGCTGATTTTAGCTAGCTAGCTCAGTTTGCCATGCGGCTAGCAGTAGCAGTAAGTTGGTTGGTGTTAACATATCTAACACAGGACCTACAGACTGCCAGGAGGGGAAATCTTAATGGACTTTTTAACTTGAGACTATAGGAGTAATGTAAATGTTGCTGTAGCTGGGCTTTACAGTGTCAGCGACCAGGAATCTGATACGTGTGAAAGTTTTGTGCTTGGAGCTAAATCAGTCAAGAAAACTACCTCTATCTATATTTCCGGTCATTAAATTGACCACCATTTATTCACGGGTAAGTAATAGAAGTACTTGAGTCATTGAATTGATACAGTTATTCTATGCATGCTCAAGGCGTAGGCCTATCCAGAATTTATGGATAGCCTAAGTAGCTAGTTAATTTGTTAATTGGTAGTCAGTTCTCCAGCTAGGTATATTTTTAGCTAATAGCTGGATAACTAACCAGGGCTTTTTTAAAGGATAGGATTCAATTTGCTCAGTGACTTTACCCATCTGACTGGGGTGTTTATCGGTTAGACAAAAAAACTGAAAAAATAAATCAATAAAAAATGAACTGGACTCTTCCTTGCCCTCATCTCCAGTTGGAGAGCGAACAGCAGGTGAAAAAACAACAGCAGGATTACTTTAACTCACTTGTTATTACAAAGCTGACTTCTTTGTGAGGAAAAGCCAAAGAACAACCCCCTAATTAGCAACAGAGACCAAAACAATCGTTTCGAAGCAGGCTGTAACAAGGTTAGATCTGCTCTTAAGTTGGTTATTTCTAGTTTCTTCGTCTGGTGAAATTGACTGGTTTCATTTTCTCAGATTGGTTAATCAAAGATACTTTTATATGTTTCCTCTTTTCTTATTTGTCAGTTGATTTATAAGCCTGCGTCAGACAGAGTGGTCCTCTTGAGAGGAGCAATCCTTATGACTAACACTTATTATTTCAGTTGTGTTTAAAGTGCCAGCGCACATCTGTGAGTCACGTCTTGTGCTGCAGCAGCTCATTAAGAAAATTGATCACTTAACGAGTGCAGTCAGTCTAATGTGATCAAATATAGAACTCTAATTTCAGCTTATTTTTCCATCATTTGTTATCAGAGTTATGCCGTCTGTCTGAGTGCTTAAAGAAATACAAATATTACCCTGCGCTGGAATGAAACCTTGCTTGATTAATGACATAGCTAACAATAAGTTCTCTGCTTATTTAAAACGTTTTTTTTTTCTCTAAACAGGTTTCATGAAATGTGAGGTATTGCCTGGACCTTTCATTTTGTAATAAAAACAGAAAAACAACAATGGCTAACGTTTATCTACACGCAATAGTTGGAATTTATTTAATTGTGTACAGCTGTATTTATTCTAATAGTCAATACATTTTGTCTGGTTGATACAGAAATAGTATATTTATTGACCCAGTCTAGAATACCTCACCCTGGATTGGAAAGTTGAATTTTCCTTCTTTTAGTACTCATACACACGAGTACAAGTCCTGATAAAATTTTGACACAGGCATTCCAGTGTCCAGATTTTGGTTTTGCAGTACTTTTGCAGTTGCAAAAAACAAACATACAGAAGTGTAGACTCTCTAAGAGAAGACAGAGGGACACTAATTGTGTAAAATAGTGGATGGTACTAAAACAGCAAAACTACAAAGCTGTTCCCAGGCTCAATTTCTGAACACACAAACAGGACACATAAAGTAAAACTTCAACTTAACTCAGAAGTGGAAAACAATTGTGTTTACACACTTAGGAAAGACATGTCTTGGCTCAAATATCTATGACAACATTACAATTTAGTCTTTACAAAAGGTGATGCAAATGTCCTATACCTGTGGGTGCATGTGACTTTATCTACTTATATGTATAAATATTTGTGTACACGAGTGTAGGTGTATATAAGTGGCAGAGTTGCTCTTACAGGTGATTGGTCCTGGCAGTATGGTGCCCCCTCAGATGCCTGTGGAGAGTTAACCTGAGGTACCCAGGACATTATGTCCTGGCAGGATACAAACCTGCAATTAGATGCCTATGAAGCGGAACTGATCACTTTGTATGTTGGTGTGTGTTTTTGTGTTTTTGTGTAGAATGTGTATATTTGTGTCTGTATCTGTATGTGGGAGGGTGTTTTGGTAAGCAAGGGTGTGCACCAGTACAGTATGTTGTACCAGTGCATAACAGAAACATCCTCCCTGTGAGAGTCTGACTCGGATACTCGGGGGCTGCAACAATGATCGTGTGTGTGTGTTTGTGTGTGTACATGTGTGTGTACAAGTGTGTGCGACATTGACCATAACAAAATTAGTGCGTCCTCTGGTTTTCTTTAATGGCCTGAATTCTGGAGGGCTTAACTTGTGGAATGTGACAGGAACTATTTCAAACAAACTCACAGTATGGAGCAGTGCGCGCGTGCGCGCGTGTGCGCGTGCGCGCGTGTGCGTGCGTGCGTGTGCGTGTGCGTGCGTGTGTGTGTGTGTGTGTGTGTGTGTGTGTGACTAACAGGAGCCATATCTCTAATGCCAATCCAAATTTGTGGGACAGTTATTCACATTTAAACTTTCCTCATGCAGCTTCACACGTTTCAACAAGGTTCAAGGTTCAAGGATTCTTTATTGGTTCCTAGAATGGAAAATTGTTTTTCAGACAGGATATTCAGCTTCCCAAATAATACAAACAACACATAACAATACAGAGAAGGCTTACTGAGTGTCTGAAGTAGAAGTGCTACACCACATCGTAACTCTCTATACTGATTAGTTGGCTTGTGTCAATTAATTAAAATTTCCTAGCAACGAGTTTCAGCTTTCAGGAAGGGAAAACAGACTCACCGACGGGCTTAAAATAGTTTCAGATTCTGCAAAAGCAAAGCTTTGGGTCACGGCCTCAAATGTGTAAAAAAAGTGACAATAGCTGTTAGTGTTGTCAAGGGAGGCCCATGCACTGAATATCAATGTTAGAAGG